TTTTTTCATAGTCAATGCGTTCACTTGCCCCCCCCCCCCTTTCTATCCCCCCACCCAACTGAAAACCTTTCCCCCTCCCCCCTTACCTTCGACCCCCCCCCCCCCCACCCCTCCAGCAGCACTCTCCTGGTGGTTCCAGCTCAAGGAACACGACATTGCATTAAAGAAGATGTGATGAACCTTGAACTACGACTCCAAGTGTCTGATGATGACTGTATTTTCTATGGATCCGGCGGTGCCCGGGTCGATCCGATGCCCAGGTCTCCCCCCCCACACCCTCTCACCATATTTACCTACACACACACACCTTCACCATCTTCCCCAATTGCTTTTAACATTCTTCAATACACACTGACTTCACCACTATAAACATCTTCATCCCCATATACATTTTTCCTCACACATCCTGGGAGATGTCGCACCCACCCACATATGTTCCGTCTCCTCCCAGTGCCCACACAGGCACTGGGAAGAGACGGAGCTTTTCTCTGTCTCCTCCGACCCTGCCCACACACGACCTTCTCCTGTCACTGTAACCAAAACGTTGTGCCCAAAATGCAAACTGAACATATGTTTTGAAAATACGTATTTAAATTCACGTTGAAGTAAACTAATGCTCAGCTAATGCTATTGTTCAGCCCTGAGTCAATAGACTCAGGGCTGAACATCCACATGTTTTGTAACACAGGATCAATGGTGATGTACACCTCTCTTCACCTCCTCCCGCAGGGAATCCATCTCTGCTCTCAGAGCTCCAACCAGACTCACCAAATCTTTTACTAATCCTTCCATTATTGCAATAATAATGTTATTAGAGTCGGAGCTCCAGCTAACACAACCTCTCACTGTGACTGCACCTGACTGACTATTTTAGTGGAATAAACTGGTTGAACAAAACAGGGAATAGTGAAGCAGAAGATTTTCTAGAATTAATTGACGATTGCTTTCTTACGCAACACATTAAGGAACCAACACGGGAAAATAATATTTTAGATTTAGTGTTAACTAACAGGGACACACAAATTAATTACATCGAAATAGGGAGTGAGCTAAGGAACAGTGATCACAAAGTAATCAGATTTAGCATAGAATGGAATAGACCTGTAGGAGAAAATTCTGTTAAAGTGCCAGATTTTCGAAAAGCTGATTTGAATAGCCTTAGAAATTTTTTGGGTCAAATTGATTGGAAAGTCTTGGGTATGGGGTGGGGGCCGGTCTTGGAGCGAGACATGAACCCAGCGATTGGTGACGTAAATGGGGATTTCGATGTGGATTCAATATATAACTTATTTAAGAATATTCTAAACAAAGCACAGGAACGTAGTATACCATACAAATTGAATAGATCGAATACCAATGACCCAAAGTGGATAACAAAGAATTTGAAGAACCTTATAGGTAAAAAGAGAGCTTGGTACAAAAGGATTAAAAATGGGGAGGTCACTTTAGAACAGGAATTCGTACAACTAGTTAGAAATGTTAAAAAAGAGATAAGGAAAGCAAAAAGAAACTATGAAGTTCGCATAGCAGGGCAAGCAAAGACAAATCCTAAAGTTTTTTTTCAGTTATATCGTACTAAGACTAGGGAAAGGATAGGTCCATTAAAAACTGAGACAGGTCAAATAACAGATAGTGATGAAGAGATGAGTAGTATTTTTAATAAATATTTTGTATCTGTATTTACTAAAGAGGAACTTAACAATATGCCTTCAGCCGAACAAGTCTATGTGGGTGGGGACGAAGACAGGTTGACGAGTTTAGCAGTTAGAAGGGAGGATGTTCTTAAACAAATAGTAAAACTCAAACCAAACAAATCCCCAGGGCCCGATGAAGTGTTTGCCAGGGTGCTTAAAGAATGCAAAGAGGAGCTTTGTGACCCACTGTTTACCATATTTAATAAATCAATAGAGTCAGGCAGAGTGCCAGAGTTTTGGAAAGTTGCTAATGTGATACCAGTTTTTTAGAAAGGAGATAGATCACTTGCGTCTAACTATCGACCAATTAGCCTAACGTCTATTGTGGGAAAGTTACTCGAATCTATAATAGCAAATAAAATTCGTCTTCATCTTGAAAAACATAAATTAATAATTGAGTCGCAACATGGTTTTATAAATGGCCGTTCATGTTTAACAAATTTGTTATCTTTTTATTCTAGCATTGTTGAGGCAGTTGATAGTGGAAAGGATTGCGATGTTGTGTACCTTGACTTTAGCAAAGCTTTTGATACAGTGCCACATGAAAGACTGATTAAAAAGTTAGAGTCTCATGGTATTGGGGTGCTATATTAAGCTGGATTAGGGCATGGCTATACCAAAGGAAACAGAGAGTTAGTATAAATGGAGTCAAGTCAGAGTGGGAAAATGTTGTAAGTGGGGTGCCTCAGGGCTCTGTCCTGGGACCTCTGTTGTTTATAATATATATAAATGATTTAGATTCAGGTTTGAGTAGCAACATTTGCAAATTTGCCGATGATACGAAAATCGGTAGGGAAATTAATTCGGAGGAGGACTCACTATCACTTCAAGTTGATCTAGATAGGGTTTTGAAATGGTCGAAGGATTGGCAGATGCAGTTTAATGCTGATAAATGTAAAGTTCTGAGGTTAGGTAATGATGATAGGGTTACAAGATACGAGCTAGATGGTGTTGAGATTGCGAAGTCGAATTGCGAAAGGGATCTGGGAGTTATGATTAGCAAGAATTTAAAACAAAAGGATCAATGCATAAATGTTCGTAATAAGGCAAATCGGACACTTGGATTTATTAATCGCAGCGTTAGTAACAAGACACCTGGTGTGGTTCTCAAGCTATATCTTGCTCTAGTTAGGCCCCATTTAGATTATGCAGTTCAGTTTTGGTCGCCATATTATAGAATGGATATAAATTCACTTGAACGTGTCCAGCGTAGGATGACTAAGTTAATTCCCCAAATTAGAAATCTTTCATATGAAGAAAGATTAACAAAGCTTAAGTTGCATTCACTGGAAAGGCGAAGAGTTAGGGGTGACATGATAGAGGTTTACAAGTGGGTGAATGGACATAACAAAGGGGATATTAATAGGGTATTAAAAGTATCAACTCAAGACAGAACACGAAACAATGGTTATAAATTGGATAAGTTTAGATTTAGGAAAGACTTGGGTAAATACTGGTTCAGTAACGGGGTTGTTGATTTGTGGAACCAATTGCTGCGTAACATTGTGGAGGTGGGGTCCCTCGATTGTTTCAAGCGCGGGTTGGACATGTATATGAGTGGGATTGGGTGGTTATAAATAGGAGCTGCCTCGTATGGGCCAACAGGCCTTCTGCAATTACCTTTGTTCTTCTGTTCTTATGTTCTTAAAATTAAAGTCACCCATGAAGTAAATACTGTTAGATCTAGATGCCCTAAATGCTGCTACTAATGCTGTTACTGATGCTGCTAATATTGCTGCTACTAATGCTGTTACTGATGCTGCTATTGACGCTGCTACTAATGCTGCTACTGATGCTGCTACTAATGCTGCTACTGATGCTGCTACTGATGCTGCTACTGATGCTGCTACTAATGCTGCTACTGATGCTGCTACTGATGCTGCTACTGATGCTGCTACTGATGCTGCTACTGATGCTGCTACTGATGCTGCTAATAGTGCTGCTACTAATGCTAATGCTACTAATGCTGTTACTGATGCTGCTACTGACGCTGCTACTAATGCCGCTACTGATGATGTTACTGATGCTGCTATGCTGTTAGGTAGTAACAGCATTAGTAGCAGCATTAGTAGCTGCCCCAGTAGCAGCATAAGTAATGACATTAGTAGCGGCATTAGTAGCGGCATCAGTAGCAGCATTAGTAGGAGCATCAGTTACTGCACTAGTAGCAGCATCAGTAGCAGCATCAGTTACAGCATCAGTTACAGCATTAGTAGCGGCATTAATAGCAGCATCAGTAACATCATCAGTAGCGGCATTAGTAGCAGCGTCAGTAGCAGCATCAGTAACAGCATCAGTAACAGCATTAGTAGCAGCAATATTAGCAGCATCAGTAACAGCATTAGTAGCAGCACTATTAGCAGCATCAGTAGCAGCATCAGTAGCTGCATCAGTAGCAGCATTAGTAGCAGCATCAGTAGCTGCATCAGTAGCAGCATTAGTAGCAGCGTCAATAGCAGCATCAGTAACAGCATCAGTAGCAGCATTAGTAGCAGCAATATTAGCAGCATCAGTAACAGCATTAGTAGCAGCATCAGTAACAGCATTAGTAGCAGCATTAGAAGCAGCATTAGTAGCAGCACTATTAGCAGCACCAGTAGCAGCATTAGCAGCAGCATTAGCAGCCGCATTAGTAACAGCATCAGTAACAGCATTAGTAGCTGCATCAGTAGCAGCATCAGTAACAGCATCAGTAACAGCATCAGTAACAGCATTAGTAGCTGCATTAGTATTAGCATCAGTAACAGCATCAGTAACAGCATTAGTAGCTGCATCAGTAGCAGCATTAGTACCAGCATTAGTATTAACATCTAATATTAAAGAATGCACTCAGTGTTAACAACAAACAATTAAACACTGCACTCAGTGTTAACAATTAAACACTGCACTCAGTGTTAACAATTAAACACTGCACTCAGTGTTAACAATTAAACACTGCACTCAGTGTTAACAATTAAACACTGCACTCAGTGTTAACAATTAAACACTGCACTCAGTGTTAACAATTAAACACTGCACTCAGTGTTAACAATTAAACACTGCACTCAGTGTTAACAACAAACAATTAAACACTGCACTCAGTGTTAACAATTAAACACTGCACTCAGTGTTAACAACAAACAATTAAACACTGCACTCAGTATTAACAATTAAACACTGCACTCAGTGTTAACAATTAAACACTGCACTCAGTGTTAACACTGCATTGTTAACAATTAAACACTGCACTCAGTTAACAATTAAACACTGCACTCAGTGTTACAATTAAACACTGCACTCAGTGTTAACAATTAAACACTGCACTCAGTGTTAACAATTAAACACTGCACTCAGTGTTAACAATTAAACACTGCACTCAGTGTTGTTAACAATTAAACACTGCACTCAGTGTTAACAATTAAACACTGCACTCAGTGTTAACAATTTAACACTGCACTCAGTGTTAACAATTAAACACTGCACTCAGTAGTGTTAACAATTAAACACTGCACTCAGTGTTAACAATTTAAGTGTTAACACTGCACTCAGTGTTAACAATTAAACACTGCACTCAGTGTTAACAATTAAACACTGCACTCAGTGTTAACAATTTAACACTGCACTCAGTGTTAACAATTTAACACTGCACTCAGTGTTAACAATTAAACACTGCACTCAGTGTTAACAATTTAACACTGCACTCAGTGTTAACAATTTAACACTGCACTTAGTGTTAACAATTAAACACACTGCACTCAGTGTTAACAATTAAACACTGCACTCAGTGTTAACAATTAAACACTGCACTCAGTGTTAACAATTAAACACTGCACTCAGTGTTAACAATTAAACACTGCAACACTGCACTCAGTGTTAACAATTTAACACTGCACTCAGTGTTAACAATTTAACACTGCACTCAGTGTTAACAATTTAACACTGCACTCAGTGTTAACAATTAAACACTGCACTCAGTGTTAACAATTTAACACTGCACTCAGTGTTAACAATTTAACACTGCACTCAGTGTTAACAATTAAACACTGCACTTAGTGTTAACAATTTAACACTGCACTCAGTGTTAACAATTAAACACTGCACTCAGTGTTAACAATTATACACTGCACTCAGTGTTAACAACACTGCACTCAGTGTTAACAATTATACACTGCACTCAGTGTTAACAATTAAACACTGCACTCAGTGTTAACAATTAAACACTGCACTCAGTGTTAACAATTTAACACTGCACTCAGTGTTAACAATTAAACACTGCACTCAGTGTTAACAATTTGCACTCAGTGTTAACAATTTAACACTGCACTCAGTGTTAACAATTAAACACTGCAACACTGCACTCAGTGTTAACAATTTAACACTGCACTTAGTGCAAAATATAAATCATAACCACGAAAACCAAAAATAAAATGTCGAACAGATTATACGAAAAATTTACACATACGAAAATATTGTGTTCCTCAACATTTACGAAAACTTCACTATTCTGAAAACACAATGTTGCAGTTACAGAAAAGGACCATACCAGGGGTCACAATATGCCCCATTAAGCGGGGGTCTTATATATAAAGGTTACAGCTTGCAATAAGACCCAAATGTCAAGATAACCGAGTTATAATAACGAAAAAGGTCGTTATATCCAGGTTCCGCTGTGATATTCTCCGCTGGACGTTATATTAAGGTTAGAGTGAGTGAGGACTGCCATAAGACCGGAGGTGCAGTGTGGCATAGAGCCAAGTGGTCGCTATGTGAGGTAACGTTAACCAGAGTGGTCATTAATCCCGGGTTAGTATGTGTTATGGGTCAACATGGTCGTTATGTGTTATGTGTACAGCATGGTTATTATGTGTTCACTCTCCACTCCTCTCTTTCTTGCCTGATTCTTGTTGCCTGGTCGTAGAGTTCAATTAACCCTGTGAGGCAGAACTTGCCATCCCTGAAACCATGTTGGTGTTGTGTCACAAAGTTCTTTCGCTCCAGATGTTCCACTAGCTTTTTTCGCACAATCTTCTCCTTTAACTTGCATGGTATGTAAGTTAGGGACACTGGCCTGTAGTTTAGCGCCTCCTGTCTATTCCCCTTCATGTATATCGGGACTACGTTTGCCGTCTTCCAAATTTCTGGCAGTTCACCTGTTACCAAGGATTTGTTATACACCATGGAGAGTGGCAGGCACAGTGCTTCTGCTCCTTCCTTTAGTGTCCATGGCGATATTCCATCCGGGCCTATAGCCTTTGTCACATCGAACTCCAGCAAAAGCTTCCTTACATCCCCACTGGTAATTTCGAACTCCTCTAGGGGTGCCTGGTTAACTATTCCTTCTCTTATCTCTGGAACTTCGCCTTGCTCTCCTGTGAAGACTTCCTGGAATGTCTTATTAAGTTCCTCGCATACTTCAACTTGTCTGTAGTGAATCTGTTTGTCCCTATCCTTAGTTTCATTACCTTTTCCTTCACTGCTGTCTTTCTCCTGATGTGGCTGTGCAGCAATTTAGGTTGAGTCTTAGCCTTGCTTGCTATGTCGTTTTCATATTGCCCTTCTACCTCTCTTCACATCCTGACATATTCATTCCTGGCTCTCTGGTATCTTTCTCTGCTCTAAAGTGTCCTGTTATTTCTATAGTTTCTCCATGCTCTTTTACTTAGTTGCTTAGCAAGCTTACATCTCTGATTAAACCATGGGTTCCTCATCTGCATTTCTTTTTTCTCCTTTTGGGCCGGGATAAACTTGTCTGTTACCTCCTTACACTTCTGCGTGATGTATTCCACCATGTCTTGGGCCGTCTTTTCCCTGAGCCCTGTTTCCCATGGTTTATCTGTGAGTAATTTTCTTATCTCCTCATAGTTTCCATTACGGAATGCCAGCCTTTTGTTTTCAGTTCCCTTCCTCGAGAACTTTAACCCTTCCTCGACCAGATACTCTAACGTCAGTACACTGTGATCACTCATTCCTACTCGGGTCTCGAAGTCAATTTCCCTTATGTCAGAGTCATTCAGAGTGAAGACTAGGTCGAGTCTTGCTGGTTCATTGTTTCCCCTCATTCGTGTGGGTTCCCTGACATGCTGGCTTAAAAAGGTTTTGCTGCCACCTCCATTAGTTTTGCTCTCCATGTTTCCTCTCCTCCATGCGGTTCCTTGTTCTCCCAGTTTATCCTTCCATGATTGATGTCCCCCATGATGAGCAGGAGGGATTGAATTCTACAGGCAGCAGAGGCTGCCCTCTCAATTATATTGTTAACTGCCATGTTGTTTCTGTCATACTCTTGCCTGAGTCTTCTGTAGTTTGGTGGAGAGTTATATATCACTGCCACTACTACTCTAGGTCCTCCCATCGTCATGGTGCCTGTTATGTAGTCCCTAAACCCTTCACAGCCTGAGATAACCATCTCCTTGAAACTCCATTCCTTTCTCATGAGTAGGGTCACTCTGCCTCCTCCCCTACCCTCCTCCCCTACCCTCCCTCTCTTTCCTTACTACAACGTAATCCTGGGAGAATGCCACATTAGTTATGATTCCTGAGAGTTTTGTTTCCGTGAGTCCAATTACATCCAGGTTTACTTCTTGTGTTCTTTCCCTAAGTTCACTTGCCTTGCTTGTAATCCCACCTATGTTCAAGTACATCACCTTGAAGCTGACTCTTTTCTGTCAATCCTCAGTTCGTGTTGATTCCACTAGAGATGGTAAACATGGTGGGTCTGGGATGGGGAGTGGGAAGGTGAGGACCTGGGTTGTGAGGGGGTTGGGAGTAAGGGGGACCTGGGTTGTGAGGGGGTTGGGAGTAAGGGGGACCTGGGTTGTGAGGGGGTTGGGAGTAAGGGGGACCTGGGTTGTGAGGGGGTTGGGAGTAAGGGGGACCTGGGTTGGGAGGGGGTTGGGAGTAAGGGGGACCTGGGTTGTGAGGGGGTTGGGAGTAAGGGGGACCTGGGTTGGGAGGGGGTTGGGAGTACGGGGGACCTGGGTTGGGAGGAGCTGGTAGAACCTGGTTTGGAGAGGGTGTGAGCGAAGGGAGGGTTTGGGGGGGAAAGAGGGGGGCTTGGGGAGGGTAGGGGAGGAGGGAGGGCTTGGGGGGGGAGAAAGGAGGGCTTGAGGGTGGGGGAGAAAGGAGGGCTTGTGGGGGCAGGAGGAGGAGGAGGAGGCAGGGCTTGGGTGGTGAGGGAGAAAGGAGGGTTAGTGGGGTGGGGAGAAAGGAGGGTTAGTGGGGTGGGGAGAAGGAAGGGCTTAGGGGAGGGTGGGGGAGAAGGGAGGGGATAGGCAGCTGGAGGAGAAAAGAGCGCTTAGGGTGGGGGGAAAGGGGGAAGAAGGGGGTGGGTATGAAGGGACGGCTTGGGGGAGTTGGGAGGGTTTGGGGGGGTGGTAGAGGTCTAGAGGAGAGGGAGGGAGTGGGGGGAGGGTGGTCCAGGTGGCTACTTAGTGGGGGGCTCGTAGGGGCTGTGGAAGGTAGGGCTTCAACTGGGTGGGAGGTGGGTGTGATCCTCCTCCCACTGGGGCTGTTGAACTGCCTGTGGAGGGTTCCCCACTCCCCTCTGGGATCGTAGGGTTCTGGACTGTGGTTCCCTGATTCCGGTATTGCTCCCTGCGCTCCTTCCTCACTGCTGCTGCCCTCAATCACTCCACCCTGGTTATATCCGTCTGCAAGAATACCTTTTGAACTTCGGTACATTGAATAGACTGCTCTTCTTTGCTAAAATTTCTTCTTTTGTGTCCTCGCTTTTGAAAACCATTTTTATCAATCGATCCCTGTCCTTCTTGTACTGGCCAAGCCTGAAAACCTTTTCTATATTCTGTTTTTCCCTCTCCATCTGTACTCCTTCAAGGATCTCTTTAACTGTGGCTTTGTCCATATCTCTCCTCTTCCCTGGACTGGCTCCTATTTGTTTCTTAATACCTACTACGATTACTGCTGTTTTCCTCTCTATCAGGCGGCTAATGCATCTTGCTGCTTCCTGAGAAGTAGCAACTTTCATGGCAATTTCCTGTACTGCAAAGGCGGCTTCCGGGCTCCTTCTAAGTAAGTCTGCAAATGAGGGTTGTATTGTAGAAGTCCCTTCTATAGACATTACAATCTTCCCGAGGGCTGGCTCGTGTCTGGTATTGGGAAGGATTCTCTTTCAGGCTTTTAATCTCCTCTTTTCCCTCATTCAGCTCCTCTTGCAGGTTGGCTACCTTTCCCCCCATTACCTTTTGTTCCTCCCTGATTTCTCTCCACATTTGAAAGAGCATTTCCTGAAGCGAGTCATCTTGTCTTTCTCCTCCCTCTGTGTACGTCTGTCCCCGCCCGTCTTTGTTTCCTATTCCAATTCTCCAATCCAATGGGCGGGAGGGTGAGTGTTTCCTATTCAAATTTTCCAATCCATTGTGTGCTTATGTGTGGTTTGTGTGCGTGTGTGGAAGTGTTTGAGTATGTGTGTGTGTGTGTGGTGTGTGTGTGTGTGTGTGTGTGTGTGTGGAGTGTGTGTATGCGAGTGTGCGTGTGTGTAGTGGGTGAGTGGGTGTAGTGGATGTGTGTGTATGTAGTATGGGGTTGCGTGCGTGAGTGTATGTGTGTGTGTGTGTATGTGTGTGTGTGTGTATGTGTTTGTACTCACCTAGTTGTACTCACCTAGTTGTGTTTGCGGGGGTTGAGCTCTGGCTCTTTGGTCCCACCTCTCAACCGTCAATCAACAGGTGTACAGATTCCTGAGCCTATCGGGCTCTATCATATCTACACTTGAAACTGTGTATGGAGTCAGCCTCCACCACATCTCTTCCTAATGCATTCCATTTGTCAACCACTCTGACACTAAAAAGTTCTTTCTAATATCTCTGTGGCTCATTTGGGCACTCAGTTTCCACCTGTGTCCCCTTGTACGTGTTCCCCTTGTGTTAAATAGATTGTCTTTATCTACCCTATCAATTCCCTTCAGAATCTTGAATGTGGTGATCATGTCCCCCCTAACTCTTCTGTCTTCCAGCGAAGTGAGGTTTAATTCCCGTAGTCTCTCGTCGTAGCTCATACCTCTCAGCTCGGGTACTAGTCTGGTGGCAAACCTTTGAACCTTTTCCAGTTTAGTCTTATCCTTGACTAGATATGGACTCCATGCTGGGGCTGCATACTCCAGGAGTGGCCTGACATATGTGGTATACAATGTTCTGAATGATTCTTTACACAAGTTTCTGAATGCCGTTCGTATGTTGGCCAGCCTGGCATATGCCGCTGATGTTATCCGCTTCATATGTGCTGCAGGAGACAGGTCTGGCGTGATATCAACCCACAAGTCTTTTTCCTTCTCTGACTCCTGAAGAATTTCCTCTCCCAGATGATACCTTGTATCTGGCCTCCTGCTCCCTACACCTAATCTTCATTACATTACATTTGGTTGGGTTAAACTCTAACAACCATTTGTTCGACCATTCAGCTTGTCTAGGTCTTCTTGAAGCCTCAAACAGTCCTCTTCTGTTTTAATCCTTCTCATAATTTTAGCATCGTCTGCAAACATTGAGAGAAATGAATCGATACCCTCTGGGAGATCATTTACATATATCAGAAACAAGATAGGACCGAGTACAGAGCCCTGTGGGACTCCACTGGTGACTTCACGCCAATCGGAGGTCTCACCCCTCACCGTAACTCTCTGCTTCCTATTGCTTAGATACTCCCTTGTCCACTGGAGCACCTTACCAGCTACACCTGCCTGTCTCTCCAGCTTATGTACCAGCCTCTTATGCAGTATTGTGTCAAAGGCTTTCCGACAATCCAAGAAAATGCAGTCCGCCCAGCCCTCTCTTTCTTGCTTAAACTTTGTCACCTGATCGTAGAATTCTATCAAGCCTGTAAGGCAATATTTACCCTTCCTGAACCCGTGTTGGCGATTTGTCACGAAGTCCCTTCTCTCCAGATGTGTTACCAGGTTTTTTCTCACGATCTTCTCCATCACCTTGCATGGTATACAAGTCAAGGACACTGGCCTGTAGTTCAGTGCCTCTTGCCTGTCGCCCTTTTTGTAGTGTACAGTTTCCTGAGCCTATTGGGCTCTGTCATATCTACACTTGAAACTGTATGGAGTCAGCCTCCACCACATCACTTCCTATTGCATTCCTTTTGTCAACCACTCTGACACTAAAAAAGTTCTTTTTAACATCCCTGTGACTCATTTGGGCACTCAGTTTCCACCTGTGTCCCCTAGTGCTTGTGCTCCTTGTGTTAAATAGCCTGTCTTTACCTACCCTATCAGTTCCCTTGAGAATCTTGAATGTGGTGATCATGTCCCCCCCTAACTCTTCTGTCTTCCAACGAAATGAGGTTTAATTCCCGTAGTCTCTGCTCGTAGCTCATACCTCTTAGCTCAGGTACTAGTCTGGTGGCAAACCTTTGAACCTTTTCCAGTTTAGTCTTATCCTTGACTAGATATGAACTTCATGCTGGGGCTGTGAGTGTGTGTGTGTGTGTGTGTGTGTGTGTGTGTGTGTGTGTGTGTGTGTGTGTGTGTGTGTGCTTGTGTGTGTGTGTGTGTGTGTGTGTGTGTGTGTGTGTGTGTGTGTGTGTGTGTGTGTGCTTGTGTGTGTGTGTGTGTGTGTGCATGTCACGAGGGCCCCTTAGGTGTCAACCTCTACCCGGAATGAACCACATTGAGATTATAAATATATGATATACTGAACAAGAATTTGATTATTTTTACCTCACTCTGTACACCAGAATAACATAGAGGCAGTACCAACCAGCCGAAGCCATTCCCGCTCACACAAACAAGGTGGGTGTATACAGCTGTCCTTATGTCGAGGTGGAGTTGTCGCCGCCTCCACCTGGATGCTTCTGTGTCCACTAAGTGCCAGTAGATTAGTGCTGGTAGTTGTTCTCTAACACAAAGTTCTAGAGTCAGTCACTGTATCCTTATGTCTGTAGTGTTACAGTTCACTAATTTACTGTATCACTGTTCACTATAGTCCAAGTATACCTAGATACAAATATGTAAACATAGGCCTCGTGGTCCTACGCTCCCACGTAGCCTTGTGCTTAATCTCTGTTTAACATAAAGTTTTAGTGATATCATTGTATTTTTTCTTTGCTATGTGCGGGTTATACACTTTGTGATAACCGAGATCTGTGATCCATCACTGTAGTCTTAATATGCCAGAGTATATGGAGGAGTATTGCTGAGTGCACCAACCCCACGACCCTCCCACGGGACTGATGACTGTGTGTGACGGTGTGTGGTTCACTCTGCTGATCCCACTACCATACATTCCCTCTGTTCCACCTTCTGAAGCTGCTTTCTCTGGTTCTAAACAAAAATATTTGCCTCTTCTTCAAAGCAATTTTCCCGTTTGTCATTGTAGCGTTCTGTGCCTTTCCCATGAAAGGTCATAGCATTTTCTTTCTTTACGTGAGGCTTTGAACATGACTGGGTGGAAATATCTGCATGTTGATCCAAGACGACATTTTCCATTCCTGCGTAAATTAAGGCCTTTTCGAGGGAGAGGGTAAGTGGAGTCTATCCCCTTTTCCTTTCTAGAATATCAATGCCTGCATATACTCACTTCCCGTTTTAGAGCGGGAGATATATCTGAATTAGAGGGATACAGAGAGAACATATACGGCACGCATAGTCACGATAAAACATCTAAATTATTGGGACCGTCTCTAAGCTCTCAAAATATACTCTCTGGAGTGGAGACAAGAGAGAGGTATCAAATAATATATACCTGGAAGATACTTGAGGGCCAGGTCCCAAATTTGCATAGTAGAATAACAACATATTGGAGCGAAAGATACGGAAGGAATTCAGAATAGAACCAGTGAAGAGTAGAGGTGTTATCGGTACAATGAGAGAACACTGAACATCAGAAGTCCACAGCTATTCAACACTCTACCAACAAGCATTAGAAATATGGCTGGAACAAAGGTGGATGTCTTCAAGAGGCACTTATATAGGCAAGTTCTTGCAAGAGGTGCTGGACCAACCAGGCTGTAGTGGATGTGTGGGCCTGCGGGCCGCTCCAAGTTACAGCCTGTTGAACCAGCCTGTTGGATCTGGTCTCAGGCCGGGCTCGGGGAGTAGAACAACCCCCAAAACCCTCTACAGCTACTCTCCAGGTATACCCCAGGTATGCCCATTGCATAGAATTTACAAACTTCCGTTTGTTTAGTCTGTCTGTCACTGTATACAACCTCGCGTTATTAATATTATAAGTTGAGTGCTGAATAGAGCCTAACGTTCAATCCTAGTAAATCCGAGTTTACAGTGCTTCACTGTATGTGACGGGCAGTTTACAGTGCTTCACTGTATGTGATGGACAGTTTACAGTGCTTCACTGTATGTGACGGGCAGTTTACAGTGCTTCACTGTATGTGACGGGCAGTTTACAGTGACGTACTGTATTCGAAAGTAACCGTTTATATCACACGAAATGTAGTCTCTGGTCTCCAACACGTGTTCAATACTTCCTTACGTCCAACTGTTCTCCACCTACACTGTTCTCCTTTTTCTCTTATCATTCACACCTTCCTGGGTGTCGACCAAGGACGTCTGGTCGACGACCGGGCCGCGGGGACGCTAAGCCCCGGAAGCACCTCAAGGTAACCAAGGTTCCCTGTATCCTTATTCACAACTCTCTCCTTTTTCATCTCTTCATTCTTCCCTCGAATAAAGGCGTGAGCAAACATGTGCATAATTTACGGTTTTGCAACCACTGCTGTCGAGGCTGTCTGAGATGCCAGGCAAGAGTTGTAAGTTTTTTGGCTGCCTTGTTTGCTGTGTTCAACGTGTGGCTGTTTATTATCTCAGATGAGCCAAAGTTCATCCTTCAAGTGTTAATTTTGACTCCTCAGTTGTAAATTTTGTCCTCAAAATGTATATTTTATCCCTATGATGTCAACTTCATCTTCAAAACGTCAGCCTTAGCCCCGAGAATTAGGTTTTTTCTCCGCTGAATTCCGATCTATATCTTCATGTCTTGTTATCATTATAGCCTGTATTTTCACATGATATTCCGATGTATCATGGTATCGTGATATCACATGTGTATCAAGGGAACAAATTTGCTGCGAGTTCTTGATTAATGACCCTCGTTGTGGTCAGTATTTCCTCTCTTTTTTTTTTTTTTTTTCTCTCTCTCTCTCTCTCTCTCTCTCTCTCTCTCTCTCTCTCTCTCTCTCTCTCTCTCTCTTTCTCTCTCTGACACTCTGTTTCTTCTCTCCG